CAGCCGCCACGCCACTGTCTGCACAGCTCCCCCCTCCCTGGGGAGGGGCAAGGGGAAGGGGGAGTCTCAGACCTCCCATGCCAGCTACCCAACCCCAGTTCAGAGGCTGAATATCAAAAATGCAAAAAACTGCCAACTGGAGGGAGGGAGGGAGGGATGCCAAGGAGCCTCCGGGTCTCACCCAGAAAATGGCTTTTCATTACATTCAATGCTGGTTTTCTTTGGAGAGCCCCTTCAGCTCCCCGGAGCTACCTAACCAAAGATAAAGGAAAAGAGGGACTTGCCCAGGAGGCAGCTGCCACTCGCTCCTCAACTCGAAGGCGAGACAAATGGCTGCAACCTGCGACCCAAGGCTACACAAGCCCAAGAAAGGCCAGGAACATTAATGTGGTACTGTGCAGCAAGCACCTTGTTCGACCTCCAAAATCCCCGTGCCCGAATGTCAGCCCAAGACATATTACCAAAAACAGCAGTCAAAGCCGTGAACCTACAAACATCATGGGCACGGATGTAAACCATAGGCTGGCTGAATCGAATACTCTTGCGGATGATCTGGGAGACCCACACCTTAAAACAGGGTAGAAGGAAAACCAAGTCAACACAAAGCGCGTCCCCTGCCATGGAAGCCATGGCACGCAAGTAACGGCGAAGAGCCACAACCGGACACAGCACGTGATGCGCCCCCGGCTGAACCAACCAAGCATCAACAACCCAAGGACCCCTCCGAAAAGCAGCAGTCTCATTCTTCACCAGAAAAGGAGGAGATGGCTGCAAATGAACAAAATGACCGCCAGGACTAAAAGAGCAGAAATCCCTGCACCGGAGGAGAACATGAAGCTCCCCGACCCGACCCCCAGAGGTCAATGCCAACAAGAAAAGAGCCTTAGAAAACAGTCCTGAACTGAAGAGGCCACCACAAACCGAGGAGAAGAGAGAAAAAGAGAGCACTCGGTCCAACAACCAGGATGGCTCAGGTGGAGCATGAGCAGGCCGGAGGTGAAACAATGCCTGAGAAAGCTTGAGGAATGGAGCAGAAGTGACATTCACCCCAAATGCAAGCTGAAACGACTCCACCAGCACTGCACGATATGAGGCAACAGTATTCGGCATAAGATGACAGATCCAGGGGTTCAGACGGGACAACTCCAGAATGAACCGCATGTCCGCACCGTCCTATTTCGGAACTGGAAACAGGCGGGAAACCCACCGGAGGGACGCCATCGTTTCGACCACGTTCAAGTGAACCCACTCCAGGATGACTTGACTTGAGGCGGGACCAAAGAGCCAGAGCTCAACCCCTGCAAACGCATCTAGGTGAGTACAGAGTGCAGGGGAAGAGGCTTGCCCTGCCAGCACCATACCCCCCCGAAGGAGAAGGAGCCTCCCAACTCCACCACAGGCAGGAAGAAACGACCCGAAACGCCCATGAATCTTGGGACCAGGCAACAGCAAACATCACGAACCTCCTCCTCCCCATCAACGGGGCAAACTGCGAAAGGGCCGACGACCCTTATGAGAGCCCAACCGATGCTCAGAACAAGCACTGCGTCTACCAGATGCCAATAGCTCCACAAGACCGTCCCAGGGCGGCCCTGAATGTGGCACTACTAGCTTATGACGACTAAAAGAACCCCCAAACCCTGGCACAACCCTTTTGGGCAGGACCACCACGATCCTCCAAGAGAACCAACAAGTTCAACATAGGCCAGTAACTATACGAAGCCGCCTGCAGAAAATGCATTGCTGCAGATTCTGCAAACAACAATGAACAAAATGAGGATGAAAGTCTAAGAGCCAGGGCCCAAGCAGATTCAAAAGTGTGGACGAACACCACCTGTCGGCATGCGAGGCATGAAGCAAAGAACAGAGACTGTTTCCTTCTGAATCGGCGCAAACAACTTCAACAAGGCGGCCAATGCCTGAGCCACTGAGGCAAGCACACCAGACTCAGGCCCGGAAGCTAGCTCTTCCACATCCTCCTCGAGCCAGTCCGAAGACAGCTCCAGCAGAGAAAAGTAGCACAAGACCAAAGCCAAATGCCCATGTGCAAACAAATCCTCAGTGACCAAGGATGCCAAAAGGGTAGGGACCTGCACGTGAAGCTGCACCTGGGCAATATTGTGAGGAAGCACAGGGGTGAACAAGCACACTGAGGTGCTCAAACTCGCCCCCCCCCCCCAAGTAAACCTGAACGACTGTAGTCCACTACTGCCACTCAAGTGTGCGGTTCCGACAGAATGCATGCCACGCCCCCAATGAAAAGAAAGGGCAGTCTGCCAGCCAGGAAGACTCCGGCACCTCATAAAGCACCCAGTAAGGAAAAGAGGAGCTAAACTTAAAAGAAAGATCCATTATCAAAGCGTAATCCGGGTCTCGCATGAGGTAAGCCATAAGGGCCTCCTTCACCTCCCTAGGTGGAATGCAGGAAGCCGAAAACCTCTGGAAGGAGGGAACAGAGAACCCAAGGGAACCCGGAACTGAATCAGGGGAGGAGCCGAACTCATATCAAACTCGTACAGGGAGGGAGGGGATACGAAAACCCCTCCCCCCTGTAACAACAAACCCTGCCCCGTGGGTACCAACACCCAAGTGAGGTCAAACGAGGCCCAAGCCCCCCCCCCAAGTCAACTCCTTCCCAGCCCCGGGATCTTCCACGTCAGGGCCCGGGGCCGAGTCATCCTCCAAGTCCTCTGCCTCTGGAGAATAGGCAGAGTCCACTGTAAAAGCAGGGATTAAGGGGGTTCGCTGGCACAACCCGAAAGCCCTGGCAGGAGGAACAAGCTCGAATGCCTCTGCTACCGATCCGGAAGGGGCAGTTCCCGTGGCCCTCTGAATCTCACCACAAATAAAACCCTGCCCCAATTCTGAAACCCTCAGACGTTTGGGAGCCGGGAGCAGGAGGCAGGCTGAGCAAGATGAATAATAGCAGGGAAGGACAAGGAGGTGCAGACGAAACCAAAGATGCGGCAACTAACACCCTCAAGTCCGGGTCCCTATAACGGGGCAGCTGCGAGGCATCTGGAAAGGCAACCAACTGAGTGTGTTGCAGCAACCTGAACCTCGCATGCAACATGGAAGCTGCTTGCATCTGAATATCAGTAACTGTGGACTGGGTGAACTGGAGTACATGCAAGGAACACCACTCGCCAGACTCTGGGTCAAAGGTGTCATTGACCCAACAGGCGGAATGTTGGAGGCAAAGATGGTGAATGTCACAATGAGACAAGGAGACAGAGCAACCTTCAAACTCTCACTAAGCAAGATGGTACTCAGAGGACTCCTCCATCAGACCAATGAGCCCCAATGGGTGTTTCCAGGGCACTTAGGCTGACTGCTAAGGGAAGCCCAGGCGAGGTACTGCTAACCAGTTATCCCAGAGCTACCAAGCAATCCAACTAAAAGCTGAACCCCTGCAACATATACAATCACAGGGGCCTAGAGAAGGGTCACCAAAAATACAGGTGGACTTATAGCCACACAACTAACACCTAACTAACAACTGACACTCAACTTCACTGTAACTGTTATCATTTTTTTTGTCTATAAATTTTGCAAGTATTTACCTACTTAAAATTTTCTTAGATTAAGGACCTGCCCGAAACGCTGTGCGTACTAGTGGCTTTACAAGACTGTAATTACCATATTATGTATCCTCACATTCCCAATGTACCTTCTTGTATATGCATAAATAAATAAATAAATAAATAAATAAATAAATAAATAAATAAATAAACAAATAAACAAGACAGACCTCCCACATTCAAACAAAACAAAAAGCAAAGAAAAACCCTGCAAAAGCACAATGTCTCCAGGGGAACAGAACCAGCCACTGTGCGTGTATCAAACAGCTGCACAATACCTTGTGCCCTAGCCAATGACAACACTACCTTCTACCCAAGTTTAAACAGAAGCAGGAACATCCTCAGCTAACTCCATGGACGGGCAATCACCAAGCAGCAAAAGAACCCTGTGGAGGTACTTCCTGAATGGCTTATGGAAGATAACCCTAAACCCCAAGGGCAATACTTATAGGGCACCTAGGGAAGGCGACCCTAGGCACCTGCAGCCCCAGTACTTCTGGAATTACTCCTGGCTCGCACACAACCACACCACATAACAAACACCACAAGACACAGCACTGCTCAAGGATTGGAGCCAGAGTCGATTGAAAGCCACCCAACACAACAGCCTCAGAACTGGTGTTGGCTAGCCGGCGCAGGGGGTCTGGGACTCCTCCTTCCCCTTACCATGGAGGGGGGGGGGAGCTTCGTAGACAGCAGCATGGTGGCGACTTAATGCTTGTTTGCTTGTTTTCTGTTTGGGGAGTTCTGCCTGCTTGTTTGTCTTCTGGCTTGCAATTTTTCACCAGCTGTAGTTTGTTTTGGGATTCCTACCTTTCTGGGTGCCTGACCTGGTAGATGGCAGACATAGACTGCTTCCAACTACATGAGGGTGTCTATAGACCATTGCTCCTCATGCCTCTCTGAGGAGACCAGGTTCTGGCTCGTGATCCCCGGTAGGCCTAGAACTCCATCGACTGACTGTTGCCATGGTCTAATATATACACATCAGCCCAGTATATCTCTGGGGAGCTGAAGGGGCTCTCCACAGAAAACTCATTTGTTTCATATGATTGGAATGAAAAAATGCTTTTCCTACAAAAAAAATGCTGATAAGAATTTTATTTTCTATAATTCTAGTATTTCTGCCATTTTTAGCTAGTTTAGACACGAAATTTTTTTTAGATTTGTACAATTTCTCAAAATAAAAACTTCAAAATAGACTGTAGCTACAATTGTAGACTTGTATCTACATATAGCTCTTCACCACAGAGCTTTAATTACAAACTGATTAATCATTTTCCCCTAGTACTGTACCTCTCATTCATGCTCTACTAACAATTGTCTTGATACTTTTTTCAGCAGCTCTTCGTGCACCCTTGCCTCTTCCCTTGTCACACCATGAACTAATATTGGCTTGTCTGATTTATACTTTTACAGATTCTCCCAAGAAACTAGAAGATGTATTAAAGGAATTCACTGGGACAGGTTCTCTATCTAAGTACAGCCTTGATGGGGTAAGTGTGACTTTCTTTTTTATCTCTCGTACACAGTGTTTAAACGTAGTTTATTAGATACTCACTAATAAAAAGACATTAACATATTCACCTGCATAGTAAATGTTTACAAATACAGTATATAACAGCCTTAATATTTTTATTTAATCTTAACATAATACAGTAATGTACAGTATATGGATGTACTGTCCTTGTATTCCTATACTGTACATTTGAATCAACATTAATTAATGAGTTAGCACTGAGAAGGTTTTTCTTCCAGTCCTTACATACCCCCACCTTCCACAACTTGACACTAACAATGCCAGTCTTCTCCAGGACATTGACTATGAAGGGTTCCACCTGTTTATGGATACTTACCTGGAGGTGGACACACCGGAGGAGCTATGCCGACATCTCTTTCTTTCTTTCGTTAAGCGGACCAGACCACAGCCTGTTGAACCAAAGTCCATTAAGGTAGGCCATTTTAAGAGCCTCTCAAGTCTCATTATGTAAAAAATTTTACTTTAAATTATTTTGCCCATTTCATTGTGAAAAGTAGTGAGGTATCTCTGAGCCTGATGTGTCTTGCAAGGTTTTAGCATAGTAATTACATTCTTGTAAAGCCACTAGTACTCGCAGCATTTTGGGCAGGTCCTTAATCTAAGAAACTTGTAAGTAGGTAAATACTTGCAAAATTTATAAAAATTATAACAGTTACATAGCATGAAAAAGATAAAAGATGAGAGAAAAATTGTAGGTATATTAAAGCACATAGGTACTGTAGCTCAGAATGATTGCAATGACAGCTTGAATAGTAGTTTGCCAAAACTTAGCAAGAATAATACAACATATGGCTAGGACATAAAAGAAGACAGCAATGAACACAATTTATTTTATTTATTTATTTATGCATATACAAGAATGTACATTGGGAATGTGAGGATACATAATATGGTAATTACAGTCTTGTAAAGCCACTAGTACGCGCAGCGTTTCGGGCAGGTCCTTAATCTAAGAAAATTTTAAGAAGGTAAATACTTGCAAAATTTATAGACAAAAAAATGATAACAGTTACATGGAATGAAAAAAGAAGATGAGAAAAATTGTAGGTACAGTAAATTAAAGCACATAGATAGCTAAGATTGATTGCAATGACAGCTTGAATGGTAGTTGACAAAAATTGGTAGGCACAATACAGCAGAAACAATATAAGATTGATTGCAGTGACAGCTTGAATGGTAGTTGACAAAAATTGGTAGTCACAATACAGCATATGGCTAGCACATAAAAGAAGACAGCAATGAACAGAATGATAAGGTTGTTTGATACTACATAAAAATTAGGAGATTGGGTAACACTAGGTACAGAGCAAATTTAAAGCTCAGTGTAGGAAACTAAGAAGATGAAATTAGGTACTTTTTGGTTTTGCTTTTAAATAAGGCAAAAGTTTTACAGTTTTTCAATTCACTAGGGAGTGAGTTCCATAGACTAGGTCCCTTAATTTGCATAGAGTGTTTACACAGATTAAGTTTGACCCTGGGGATATCAAAGAGATATTTATTTCTGGTGTGGTGATAATGGGTCCTATTACATCTGTCCAGGGAGAGTTTCAGAGCATGGTTTGCATTTAAGAACAGGGGTTTTGTAAATGTAGTTGACACAAGAGAATGTGTGGAGGGAGTTAATATTTAGCAAGTTTAGGGATTTAAACAAGGGAGCCGAGTGTTGTCTGAAAGCAGAGTTAGTTATTATTCTGATAGCAGATTTTTGCTGTGTGATGATGGGCTTAAGGTGGTTTGCAGTGGTAGACCCCCATGCACAGATACCATAATTAAGATAGGGGTAGATTAGTGCATAATATAGTGAGAGGAGAGCAGAGTTAGGAACATAATATCTGATTTTGGAGAGTATACCAACTGTTTTAGAGACTTTCTTAGTTATGTGTTGAATGTGGGTGCTGAAGTTGAGTCTCTTGTCTAGGAATAGGCCAAGAAACTTGCCATCATTTTTATTACTGATGTTAATGTTGTCTATCTGTAGCTGAATTGCATTTGATGATTTGCTTCCAAATAAGATGTAGTAAGTCTTTTCGATGTTTAATGTTAGTTTGTTCGTTTACATCCATAAGTGGACTTTTTTTAATTCATTATTCACAACATTATTTAGTGTCTGTGGGTTGAGGTCTGAATAGATAAGGGTAGTATCGTCAGCAAACAATATAGGTTTGAGAATATTAGAGACATTAGGCAGATCGTTTATATATATAAGAAATAGAAGAGGTCCTAAGATACTGCCCTGTGGCACTCCAACGGTAATTGGTAGAGTGGAAGAAGTTGTATCATTGATGGTTACATATTGGTGTCTGTCACTAAGATAGGATCGGATGTAGTCAAGGGCAAGGCCTCGGATTCCATAATGCTGGAGTTTAAGTAAGAGGTAGTTGTGATTAACAGTATCAAAGGCTTTTCTTAGGTCAATGAAGAGTCCAATCGGAAACTCATTTTTGTCAAGGGCTGAGTAGATAACGTCAAGGAGACTAATGATTGCATCGTTGGTACTCTTTTGGGACCGGAAGCCAAACTGGCAGGGGCTGAGTATGTCGAATTTTACGAGGTAGGAATAGAGCTGTTTGTAAATAATTTTTTCAAATATTTTTGCTAGAATGGGTAGATTTGATATTGGTCTATAATTGTTTATGTCCGCCGGATTGCCTCCTTTATGGACTGGCATTACTCTTGCTTTTTTGAGGATATCAGGGAAGGTGTGACACTCTATAGATTTGTTGAACAGTAGTGCTATGGGTGGAGCAAGGGCATGGGAGGCTCTCTTGTACACAATGGACGGAATTTCACTGGTGTTCCCTGCCTTGGTTTTTAGAGAGTGTATGATGGACACAACATCTGCCGGGCTGATTGGTGAAAGGAGAAGAGAGTTTGGATAGCTGCCTGAGAGATATGTGTTAATATGTGTCTGAGTCTGTGGGATTCTACTGGCAAGATTAGCACCAACCGATGAAAAGAAACTATTAAATTCATTTGCCATTTCTAAATCAGTTGACGGTATATCCCCATCCTTGTAGAGTTTTATTTGGTTATGTGAGTGTTGTTTAGTTCCTAGGATACTAGAGATTGTTTTCCAAGTGCTTTTCATGTTGCCTTTTGCTTCATTGAATCTATTCACATAATATGCAAGTTCTGCCTTTCTTATGATACTGGTAAGCATTGATGAGTACCTTTTAGCTACTTCCTTTGAAACTAGGCCAATCCCAAGTTTCTTTTCATATTCATGTTTCTTGTTGATCGAGTTGAGAATGCCACTTGTGAGCCATGGATTGTTTAATCTTTTGTCAGTTACTTGATAAAGTTACAATGATAAAGTTGTTTTGATTAAGTACAAAAAGATTGGGAGATTGGGTAACACAAGATACAGAGCAAATTTAAAGCGCAGTGTAGGAAACTACAAAGATGAAATTAGGTACTTTTTGTTTTTGTTTTTAAATGAGGCAAAAGTTTGACACCTTTTCAATTCACTAGGGAGTGAGTGTCATAGACTAGGTCCCTTAATTTGCATAGAATGTTTACACAGTGAATATAGTCTTTTAGTGAATATATTATACATTTCACTATAGTGTACTGTATTTACGTTTTTAACTCCCAGTGTCTAAATTAATTCTTTTCACTTTTTAATATATAATTAAGTTAAAAAGAATAAAATACTATAATAAGAAAGATGGTTAATTGTGTATGTATGGTAAATGGGGCACTAAATATTCCTTATTGGTGCAGGAGATGGCAGTGATGTCATCAGCGACGGCCTGTGCCCCCATCACCTCCCACAACACCTCTGGAGGCTCCATCAGCAACCTAGCCACTTGTTCCATCAGCGAGAGCTTGACTGTGGGTAGCAAGTCAGAGGGAGGTGGTGGGGTTAGTCTGGCTGACAAGCTCCATGGCCTCACTGAGAAGTTCTCCTCACTTGGACACACCCGTGCTGACTCTGAGGCCTCCAGTCGTCCTAGGACTGGTATGATGACACTCGACTTTTTTCTCTCTTTTTCATGCTTCTTTGTACTTTTGTCGATTTTGTCATTATTTGAGCTGAACTAATTTGAGTTCCACTGTACATGTCCCACCTGGGGTTTTCTTTTAAATACAAATACAGTAAATATATTTTGTCCATTATCTTCACTACTGAACAATTGTTTCATTAATTTATTTGACATAGTCTCGGTGCTGTATCCTGGGTACGCACCCAACTTCCGAGGAGCTGGACGAGGTCTTCGAACGCTGATTGTTATATTGTTATATATATGTGTGTGTTCTCTTACACAATATATATATGTTAGGCTTATAGTGAGGTTCCCCCCCCCCCCACCTTCCCCTAGGTCAAACTACTAACCTTCCCCAGGATGTAACCCCACAACAGTTGACTAACTCCCAGGTACTTATTTACTGCTAGGTGAATACAAGCGTTAGGTGAAAGGACCAGTCCCAACCTTTTCTGTCCTGCCTGGAATTCGAACCCAGAATTCTTGATTGTGAACTGAGAACAAACCCAACTGTACTACCAAAACCCTCTATGCAGTACTGCAGTTGTCTCTATAAATTTGAGAGACATGGGTTGTTACCCATGCACAACCCATAGGTAACATGTATCAGATTGCATCTTTACATCTTTACATGCAGGTAGTATAGGGGCGTGTGTCCACCCAATGGTGACGGTGACACAGACGAACAGTTACACCGATGGTAAAATTGAGAAAAGCACTGATTCCTCACCTTCACAGTCCCAGATGTCTCGCTCATCTTCCAAGAAGTCCAACAACTCGCTTCTTGTTACTAATGGCAAGCTAGAAGGTAACACCATGTAAACTCAAATATGCATCTTCAGAAAATTCTGTACACTTAATTTGTTATTTTTGCATGCAATTAGATGTTACCTAAGTGTTTTGTCAGTTGATGCTTCTTTACTGGTAAATTTATAGCTGATTTAGAATCTCAAATATGTCTAGCAGATTACCGATGCTTAACTATACAGTATATTGTTAGCTATTCATTTATGATTGCTTAAAATATTGGTATTTGAAATTCAATAACCCTGATGCTAGTAAAATGGACCCCAAATGGTTTCAACCAATTAGCGAGTCTAGTGACACTTTCACATTCCAATGGTGCTACAACACGTCATCTGATTGCTGAATTTTCAGTTCTCAGTACCCGAGCATTTCTATTTGCATCAACCAGTCTAAAAACTTACGAAAATTCCAAAAAGATTCCAAAAATCGTTGTTATTGTGTGGACAGAGCATATTTAGGACATGAGTGGACTAACCAGAGCTACCAGCTCGCTCAAGAGGTCTCCCTTGTGATATAAATGTTCGTAAATTCATCACTGTCATACCTAATTTATTATAAATACTTTTTTCTGCATTTGGTTCTCGAGTAAAAATGTCAGCATCTTGTATCATGCTGGTGTTATGATTTACAGGCACTATCTAGTGATGACAATCTCCTGAGTCATGTCACTACAGGTACTGTATTTTTTCTCCAAGCCATACAGTAGGATTTCACAAGCTCGATTTATTTGTAATAAAAAACAACAACATATCATCTTGTAAATACTGTAAATCAATAATTCATTAAAAATAAAGGCATACAATGTAAATAGAAGCACTTACAGAATATATATAAAAAAATATATTTATTTTATTCAAAACTAATTATTAATTTCGTAAATCAATCAGATATCAGTCTTTTCTGACAAATTAAATGTAGCCTTCAGCTTCACAAGACAAAGATATCACCATGTTTTATTTTAGTTCCAAGTCTTATATTTTCCTTGAACCTTTTTAGTCTTAATGGTTTACCTACACATGTTCTTTGTTTTTATCTTGTATCTCTAGTTCTTTAGCCCTCACTCTTATCCAAGAGTCATTTTTTGACATATGCATGTTTCAAATTATTTACAAATGTCTTCTTATCCCTTCCTCATTTTTCATCTTTACCTTCCAATATTTGACAATCATCTTTTGAAGCATTACTCTATGTTTACATATTTATCTGTGTTTACTGTATTTCTCATTCTGATGTTTCCTTGAATTGAACTTGTCATGGTCTTATTCTCATATTTTTCACATCTTAGTACAGTATTTTCATTGTCTTATTAGCATAGCCTTTCATCTTATTCACTTCTCCTATACTTCAGACATGAAGCACTTAGTAAGAAAATCCAGCAGTATCGAGGTCCACACAGTACGGGTCAACCTCAAAGACATTATATGTTACCTGACGCTGTTGGAAGGTGGTCGACCAGAGGACAAACTAGAGTGTGAGTACCTACATGTCCCACACCTGCTGCCACTGTACTGGCCTTGGCACAATTAGTTTTCCAGGAAATACCAGCACCACCTAGCTCAAAGGAAGGATCTGATGACCAGTGCAGCAGGGGCTACAGGTGTCAGACTGATGGTAGCAGTCAGAAGAGTAAAGGGAAAAGCTGGCTTTGATCCCAGGTGACCTGCACTGCTGTCTAAGGGTGACAGTGCATCATAGCTGGGGTATTTACCTCCCAGCAATGATTGTTTGCCTTGTTTACCTATGGGTGCCTAATTTCCTTTCAAGCTATTGCATGTTTTGTTGCCCATATGCTTCTGGTGGGCGTTTCTTAGTTTTGTGGTTGATGTATGCTCCCTGAGCTTCCTTACCTAATGGAGTGAGCCAGATTTTGATCCTGGTTTCCAGTAGGTGATGGAAGGATATCAGAGACCTGGTGTGTTGGCTAAGACTTGGTGGAGCTATAGTTAAGCTTGGGGAACTACCTCCCCCAAGCTTAACTTAACCAATGGCTCCCTCATAAAAAAAAGGGCAGAAGTGGGGGGGGTGTTGCTTACAATAGATTGCAAAGTTCATGGAATTTTTTGTCTTAAACAGGCATTTTTATATTACAAAGTCAAAATATTCATATCAAAGATGATGCTGACTCTGCTAGTTACTTGCCAGTGTTCTACAATAGATATTTTACAGATACAATAAATATATTACCTCTTTCAAATTATTATTAAAAAAGTACTAACAAACAATTATTATTTGTTAGAAATATATTATTCATCTTGACAAATACTGGACAGATTTTTGTCTATACTGTTTATGCTCCGTAATCTGAATTATATGGAGCCCTACTTCAATTCAACTTAGCTGAATTTCTTAACCCTTTAACTGCACAACGCGCCTGCAGGCCAATGTCTGGGGTATGCTACGCGCCTCCGGGTATTTGTATTTTTCACGTTCTATTCAAAATTCTCACAGCTACATAGGGTTCACATCAGCTTCCTCAGGGCTCTTGTAAACAGGCGCCATCTTTAAAAAAAAATCGTGGTCCACATTCCTGGGTGTGAGAGCCTCAGTAGTGAGTGAGCAACCAAGGCCGGCACACGCAGCATGAGCTCACAGCACTGCTGTTCAGCTTGTGACCACATCATCGCCTAATAATGTCAAAATATATATATAACTTGTATTATCTTCAAACGACTTCTTAGGTTCCTTTACTAAATAAACTTGTGGTCAATTATGTATTTACAGGATTTAGTGACCAGTATTGTGATAACAGCAGGATTGTGGTGATACAGGTAATAAGAATCGAGGTAGCCTCACTGTGTGGCAGCCACTCTTGCTTTGCTCATCATACTAGCTTAGTGGTTCGCTATTGTGAACACATTTGTACATGGGTATATACAATGTGTGTATATAGTGTAGTAACAGCAACAGAAGTATGTTGGGAGGAGCTATTTTGGTGAGGGAGGTGACGTAATCGTAGTATCGTCTACTGGCTGCTGTGTGATTTCTCATGCAGTGTATAATAATATATAAATAAATGTTTATTCAGGTAATGTACATACATACAAGAGATTTTACAAAAATTTATAGATTTATAGATAGAGCTAGTACATACAATGCCTAAAGCCACTACAGTATTACGCAAAGCGTTTCGGGCAGTAACATCATCATTCGGGCATAACATCATCATGACCACGTATGGTGGCCACTGTAAAGTTTGGCCACAATACCGGCTTACTTGCATAGTTCTGGTGAATAAAATATGTAGATAGGTATATATAACATGTGTAAATAGTGTAATACAAACAATAACAGTATGGTGGGAGGAGCAATGTTGGCGAGTAAGATGTTGGAGGAGTGAGGGAGAGATTGGATGTTGGAAGAGTGAGGGTGTGGCAGCTGACACTTGCGGAGTTCTGAGTGTGTTCATGGGGAATATATATAGTGTGTGATAGTGTATAGTGTGTAAATAGACTGTATATATACATAAATTAGCATAATACAATGGAAATATGTGCCGGATATGTGTACACATGTCATGCACGTAACAGTGTCTTCGGACAGTACGGATGTTCTACTGCCATAATATAGTGTACATGTTCATTATACATAGGATTGGCATGTAAAAGCATATAAAATGTATTTGGAACTGTGCGCAGAAAATGAACAAAAATATATTTGCGGCAACTTGCGCATCCTGCCCCAAGCGCCCTACCTGCCCTGGGGGCGTATGCCACGGGTGACCAGGGAATGATGACATCACGCACGAACTTACGGACCCCATAGCAGGTAAAGTACTTACAATTTCGACCTTCTGTTTACTATACCCTTACTCAAGGAAGGGTTTTTGACACATTAAAAACAGAAATTAATTTTTTCCAGATTTTATTTCCTGCGCATTGGGAAAGGTGTCATATTTGGAGGCCGTGCAGTTAAGAGGTTAAAGAAATGTCCAAAAATGAACAAATTCACTATTTTCTGTCGGGAGTCCCTCCGACTCCCTGGAGCTATCGGACTGATATACATTATATGACTCTGGTGGGTGTTCTTCTTCTTGCTTCTTCTTGGGCATCAGTCAATGGAGTTCAGCCTACTGGGGACCATGAGCCAGAACCTGGACCCCTCAGAGAGGCACAGGGAGCAATGACCTATGGAAACCCCCATGTGTTTGGAAGCATTCCATGTCTGCCATCGACCGGGGTTAGGCACCTAGAAAGGTAGGCATACCAAAACAGACCCCACTTGGTAAGAAATTGCAACGGAAGACTGAATAGAGAGGCAAAACGCCCCAAAACTTAAGGAAACAAGCAAATGTCATACACCGCCGCCATGCTGCTTGTCCACGTAGCCCTCCCCTGCCCGAGAGGGGGAGGGGGGAGGCCCCGAACGCCCCGTTCCGGCTGCTCACACCTTCAGTTCGTAGGCTGATGCGTATTGGGGCGGTCGTCAAATCTGGCCTCAATTTCTTGGCAGAATTTGTGCCTTTGTGGTGTTTCCTGCTCCTTGTGGTGTGTTGCCCAGGTGTAACTACAGTGTACTGGGGCTGCAAGCGCCTGGGGCTACCTTCTCTAAGTGCCCTGTAAGTACTACCCTTGTGCTCTAGGATTACCTTCTATAGAGCCTTCGGGATTCCACTTCTGTAGGAGTTTTTGCTGCTCTGCATTTACCCCCACCCTTAGGGCCAACTGGGATTTCGTGGCTTTTGTTTGGCCTTAGGTAGGAAAGTGGTTGTGTTGCTGGTTGGGGTACAAGGTGCTGTGCTGCTTGCTTACCTATGCGGCGGCTGTGTTCCTGTTCCTTCTGGTGGCGTTGTACTTTTGCAGGTGTTTTCTTGCTAGTCTTGTGTTTTGTTTTTGAGTCTTGTGTTTTTCCCAGAGTCTTGCGAGACATGTTCTCTGCTTGTGCCTCAGTTCACCCATTCTATTGTCACTGAGGTTTGGGTTCAGGCAGCATCCGCATTGCATACCAGGTTTATGTTGCTGCAATGCACTAGGTTGGTTGCCCGCTTGGATGCCCCAGGGCTGCCCCATTTTGGTTATAGGGACCCGGACTTGCGGGAGTTTGTCGCTTCGACTTCGGTTCCATCCGCGTCCGCAAGTCCTTTCCTGGTTGGCGTTGTTCACCCTTTTCCGTTGATCGGGGCGGGGTTTAGATGGCGTTCAGACTCGGGTGGCTTCAGGGGCTGCCCCATTCGAGTAGGAGATGGAGGCATTTGAGCCCACTCCTTCTGTCGAGGCTTCTGGGTCCTACTAGCAGACCTCCTTCTTTGCTGCCTTTTCCCTGGACTCTGCCTTTTCTTCAAAGGTAGAGGGCGTGGAGGACTGCTCTGCCCCGGGGCCTGGTTTGGAGGCTCCCAGGGCTAGAGAGAAAGTGACCTGGGCGGCTTGGGCCCTCTTTGATCCCGCATGGGTTTTGGTGCCCTCTTTGCAGGGTTTGTTGTTGCAGGGAAAAGGGTTTTCTTACCCCCTTTACCTGTACGAGTATGATTTGGGGTCGGCTCTTCTCCGGGTTCAGTTCCGAGTTCTCCTGGGTTCTTCGGCTCCTCCTTTCCGGAGGTTTTCTGCCTCTCGAATCCCGCCTAAGGAGGTTCGGGAGGCTATTGCGGCTTACCTCATGTGTGACCCGGATTTTGCCTCTGTGATAGATCTGTCATTGTATGAGTATGGTTTGGCCATGCTGTTTAACCACCACAATGCACAGAGCACCTTGAGGCACTGGATCAGGGGTGCACAGAGCGCCTCAGGACTCTCGTAGGTATAGGATAGCATTCAAAACTCCTGCAGCTACACAAGGTTCTCATCAGCTTCCTCAAGGCTCTAGTAAAGAGACGCCATTTTTTTTTTTTAAATCATGGGCAACATTCCCGGGTGTGAGAGCCTCAGTCCTGAGTGAGCAACCAAGGCTGGTGCACGGAGCATGAGCTAACAGCACTGCTGTTCAGCTTGTGACCACAACATCGCTTAAAAATGTCAAAATATATATACTGTATGTAACTGGTATTATTAACTGGTATGATAGTATTACAGAAGAGCCTAAATGTGATAGACTGTATACAATGTTCAGATATCAGTGAACACAACGTTGTTCAAGATGTTCACAGCACTAGCCACAGCGCACTGCCATTGTTTGGTCCATCTAAGAATCTTGAAACAACTCCTCATGTTCCTTTACAAAATAAACTTGTGGAAAATTATTCATTTACAGGATTTAGTGACCAGGATTCTGATAATAGCTGGATTGTGGTGATAATTAGCGATGTGCGTAGTATGGTGTGAGGAGGGAGGGAGGGAGGGAGGTAGTGTTAGCTGGCTGATGTGTAGCAGCCACTCTTGTTGTTTTGTCTTCCCATACCAGCATAGTGGTTTGCTATGGTGAACACAAATGTAGATACTTATTTATAATTGTGTATATAGAGTGTAATAACATCAAAAGGAGTATGTTGGGAGGAGCCATTTTAGTGAGGTTATTTATAACATGTGTAAATAGTGTAATAAA